GGAGATACTTCCGTGCTTTTGATGCTGGAGGAGCCGCTGTGGGCATGTGACACCAGATACTGGCTGGTTCTTAGTAGGGGATGACGGAATGAGGCACCATACAGAATCCTTTAAAGGGTACATCCAGGGCCCTAACTGCCTCATCTCCCTCATTCAGAAACCTTGTTAAAGGGTAAACATAGGGCCCGAATTCCCTCATTCAGAATCCTTGAAAGGGTATATTTGCGGCCCTAATTCCCTCCCTAAACCCTAAACCCTAAACCCTAAACCCTCAACCCTAAACCCTAAACCCTAAACATCCCTAAACATCCCTAAACCCTACGTGCTAAGAACCAGGGGGAGGGGGATAAGAACGCTGCTCTAACGCAGCGGCGCTGCTCGGCGGGCCTGCTGCGATGTCAGGCGCGGAGGAAGCTGGCAATCTTAGGTTTAGGGTTTAGGGTTTAGGGTTTAGGGTTTAGGGTTCAGGGTTTAGGGTTTAGGGTTTAGAGTTTAGGGTTTAGGGTTTAGGGTTTAGGGTCTAGGGTTTAGGGTTTAGGGTTGGCATCTCAGGGTCCTTCCATTTTCCCTTAGTATATTGGGCCCTTCAAAGCTAGACCCAGGAGTAACCTAGGAATGAACAAGGGTGCCCGTTTTGGTTTTCGGGGGATTACAAGGGAACCCCAACCCTAAAAAAGGAAATAAGGGCCTACTCCGGGTCCTATATAGTTCCCTAGTATTGGGCCCTTAAAAGGGTCATGTAGGGGCATGAAGAATTTCAATAGGGTTCTGGGGGTTATTGTAAATTTCTAATAGAGGGACCCTAAGGGAATACTGTTAGTAATTATTCCGACCCGTATATTGCTCCGAAGTCCCGTGTACACATGAAGGGCCCATACATCGGAACCCTGTCAAGGAGGTTCTGGACCATATTTGAGCCCATGAAACTACCCTCAGATGGAGGCTTCGGAAAAGAAAAAGAGAAAGCAAGCATCTAAGCCCATGAACCTCAGCAGCAATCAAAAACCACAGAGTTCCCCACCAAGTTTCTCATGGGATTCCCCTAAACCCTAAACACTAAACCCTAAACCCTAGGAGGGGCTTAAGGTTGGCCCTGGGTTGTTTCCTCGCTGACGTTGGCTTCCCTCTTCTCTCCCTAGGACCCTAAGACCCTAAGACCCTAAGACCCTAAGACCCTAAGACCCCAAGACCCTAAGACCCTAAAACCCTTAAACCCTAAACCCCAAAACCCTAAACCCTAAAAGCAACTTTCAGCACTTCGAGGGGTAAAAGCCGCGAGTGAGGGGAGCGGAACCCCGACCCTTCCCCCGCCATTCGCAAGCACAATCCTCGTATGATGGGTAGGGGAAGGATACATAGGTGCATAAGAGGCATGTCCATGGACGGCACGACATTCTATGAAGCAAGCTTGCATAGCCTGAAAGAATGGGAGGGTTGGGACAGGGTTTAGGGCTTGGAACTTAGGGTTTAGCAGCCTTCCTTCGGTGAAGTTGCTGCAGCTTCCTTCTGCACGCCTGTCTTGTCACAGCGGCATCATCACCTACGACGACCTGGCGGACGTCTCCTAAGATGCCCCTAACCCCTAAACCCAAAACCCTAAAACCTTATGGGATCTACTAAATTGCTAGAGCTGCAGATAGGGGTTCTGGGCTGGTGGTTCCCTCAATCGACAGTCTCATGTTCATCTTCAAAGAAAGGCTTAGGGTTCAAGCGGTTTGGGTTTAGGGAAGCACCACGAAACCACAAGCCCGCAATCCTATCTTCCCAAAAACCCTAAATGCTCGGAGGACCAGAGTCCCGACAGGACGTCGCAGCGCATTAAGTGGGGTTTAGCTTGGGATGCTCCCCCTGATACTAACAGTCCAGAATAGGGATTATCGTATTCCCTGGTATAATCCCTATGGCTGTTCACATCAGGGGGAACATCCCAAGTTTGAGGTTAGGGCTTGGTGTTTCCAAACAGGCATCAGTCTCTCACATATCAACCTGCGCTCGGCTCCATCCCCCTGTTGTCGTCTCAAAAACCATCAAGAACCGCATGCCCCTCATGAAACCCCATAGATGCCACATCATGCTACGACTTGCTTAAGTACCCACTGAAAGATAAAACCATATTCTTCCTTCTACAAGAAATATAGGGATTAGGAAGCCCCCCAAAAAACAACTCCATTATAAGGGGTAATAGAGTCTCTAAAGGGATGATAATGTTTCAATTTTGGTGGGGGTTCTCAAGCAGATAGCAGAACGTAAGATACTCCCGACCATGACCCTAAAAGAGTGCAGCAGTCCCTCAGATACGAGACCCAAGAGTGGCCCAGGAATAAAAAAGGGTGCGTTTTTTTGTCTAAAGGCGCGTAGAAGGGAACCAAAACACCCAAAAAAACCCTGACCCTAAACTCTCTCTACCCATACACACTTAAACCTTAAACCTCAATGGGGTCGTCGGGTGATTTTGCGTTTTCGTGGTTCCTAAATCCTAAATCCTAAATCCTTAGGATTTACGGGGGGTCCCAGGGGTCCAGGCCCCACAGCCCGGGGTCACCTGTCACGGGCGTGACAGGTCGGGGGGGGGGGGCCGTGACCCCGTTCGCCCAAATCTTCTCCGTGTTTTCCCTGGGCAAAACGCATGAGTTTTTCGGGTTCGACGCTTTTCGTGTCGTTTGGTGTCAAAAACGCCCCGTGGGCACGGTATGTGCAATCTTTTCCGTCGCGTTTTTCTGTTAAGCAAAACAATATTAATTGGTGGCGCAGTCCCACCTCACACCGTAACTCGTCTAGGTATGCACACCCGTGCCTCGGCAAACTTGATTCTTACTTTGCGTTTTGTCCTTAGCGGTTTTCGGGCTTTGGTGTTTTCAGTAACGATTTTTCGTGGCCTGCCTCGGGTAATCCTGGGTCCCCCCCTTTTGGGGGGTTTTTGAAGCTTTTGGGGCTTGTGAAAGCTATTTGGGGCTGTGGTAGTGCTTTAGGGGTAAACTGGAGGGGCCCCGAAACCGTCGATTTCAGTTCCGAAAAACAGCATTTTCAGTGCGGGAACAGGCAAATCCTGGGTTCCACCTTTTTTAGGGTGCTTTTTGAGGCCTTCTGGGGTTTTTGAAAGCTATCTGGGGCTTTTGGGATTTAGGATTTAAGGTTCAGGGGACTTAGGCAACAAGAATTGAAATGGTACATAAAGTTGCCAAATGAAAGGGATCTGAGTGGGTGGGGTGATGCCAAACACCCTTAGTGAATGCTTGGATCAGAGATGCTGAACCCTAAACCCTAAACCCTAAACCCTAAACCCTAAACCTTAGAAGATTAAATCGCGGAATCAAATCGCTGCGATTTAAACTCGCAGGCCCAAATCGCTTCTTATTTGGTCGTATTCAACCGTTGGAAACGCAAATCGCGCGATTCGGGTTTCCAATGCCAAATCGCAGCGTGTGCTGCTTTCAAGCAGCACTCGTGAGAAATGGGCTCAATGAATTTTGCAGGCTTGGGAAAACTCATTTAGCCTACTTGGCCCCAAGACATTGTCGCTCTTGGCTGTATTCCGTCTCGGGCCTCGGGTAAGCATGGTTTTAGGTAAAGGGTCGTCATCGTCCAGTTATCGTCGTCGTCACGGAGTGCCACTGACACATAAACCCTAAACCCTAAACCCTAAACCCTAAACCCTAAACCCTAAACCCTAAACCCTAAACCCTAAACCCTAAACCTAAACCCTAAATCCTAAATGCTAAACCCTAAACCCTAAACCCTAAACCCTAAACCCTAAACCCTAAACCCCAAACCAGCAAACCCACGGAAGACAAAGAAGTCGTCATAGGCCTGCCCAGGGCATCCATGGATCAATTTTGCTGACAATGGTAAATTCATGCGGGTGTATTCTCAGCGGGAGCTCAATGTTAAGATGTTAAGATGCTAAATGATTTTTTACAGGGTTGCAGAAATCATTTAGCAACTCGCAAAACCCCAGACCTTGAGGCTAGCTCAGTTTCGGGAGCGGGGCCCGCGGGGGAGGCTAGGGTTTAAGGTTTAAGGTTTAGGGTTTAGGGTTTAGGGTTTAGGGTTTAGGGTTTAGGGTTTAGGGTTTAGGGTTTAGGGTTTAGGGTTTAGGGTTTAGGGTTTAGGGTTTAGGACCCTAAACCCTAAACCCTAAACCCTAAACCCTAATCCTCAACCCTCAACCCTCAAAACCGTAAACCCTCAACCCTAAACCCTAAACCCGAAACCCAAAACCCGCCACGCCCGGCAGGACATTTCTGCTCAGCTGCATAAAGACAAAACAGCTCACTAAAGGTTTTCTGCGTAACCCAAAACTGCGAAACAAAACAGCCCGCCAAAGATCTGTTTGATGTCTACTCCTGAAATGCACACAGACTAAACAGCTCATCAAAGATTTCCTTCCTGTCTCCTGAAATGCATAAAGACAAAACTTAGCAAGATACTGGTGCTTGCTGAGACCTTCTCACTTCGCTTTGTGGCGCTTCTGCGCCGGCGCATGCACGTCTGTCGTGCGAGCATTCTCCAACGCCTTGAGCGTCGCGAAGTCCTCGGCCTTGATGGTCATCCGACGGGCGTGCGAAGCGAGCCTTTGGCACTGGGAGAGCCGGTGGCTGGCATGCATCTCTGCATACTCCTGCAGCAGCTGCAATGCTGAGCTCGAAATGCGTACGGGCACATGAGCACTGCGAGCTTGGAATTCCTCACAGCGGTCTCGCGGGAGCAACAGCTTGCCGGGCACATTTCTGCGGACCTGCTTGCCGGTGTCGGCATCCACGACTTGGAAAATATTCGGCTGGGTTTCCTCTATGATCTCCACAATGGTGCCTTTCTTCATGGACCCCATGTCAATCCGAGTCGCTGCCATCTGGTGCAGCAAGCTGACCTGGGTTTTGGGTTTAGGGTTTAGGGTTGAGGGTTGAAGGTTGTAATGAGGGTGTAGAGCAAGAAGGAGGGTTTTGGGTTTAAACGGCATAGAGTGGAGAAGTGCGTAATGATTTTTCGGGGGCTGGGTAAAATCATTCTGCCGTCCGGGGTGCATGCCGCACGTCTTCCGGCGTAGCGCAACCTTTCTGCCCAGCACCAAGAGGCAAGGAAGGGCAGAAGTCGACCTCATACAAGCCCTCGCGCAAGCCACGCGTGATAAGCACCATAACGCCTGGCGAGAAGCCATCCTCTGTGAAACGGTGTGTCACCAACTGAACCCAGGTTCCCTCCACAAGGTCCTGGTTGCTGCAGCGGGCCACGTTCATCGGAAGCTTGGCTTCCTTGATGGTGTCTTGGAGGATGTCCTTCACCAGGTCACCGAACTTGCCAACTGGGCAGCAGACTGCCCTTGGATCGGCTTGCAGGTTGCGAATCTGGTCTTCGGCGCTCTTCCTTGCATCAGAAGGGCGTGACACTTCCAATTTGATTTTTGCGACCCTCGAACAAATCATTCTAGTACTCCACCGGATTCCTTCTCAGGCATCTTAAATCCAAAGCCCTCAGTACAAACGGCTCTTAACCCCTAAGCCCTAAACCCTGACCTTCACTTTAATTATAAACTCTACACCACCCCACGCCAAGCATCTTTTGAGAGTCCCACCTTCCGCGAGGCTCAGTGCAAGGCGGCTTTGGTGCATCCTTCCTAGGACGGCCGCGCCCACGCTTCTTGTTCTCTGTTGCCGGCTCTGTTGCTGGCCCTGTTGCCGGCTCTTCCTGTGGCCTTTCCGGCTGCAGGAAAGAGGCGAGCTTCAACTGCACGACGTTCACAAAGATGTTGTTCCTCAACGCGACGGGAAGCAGGAACTCTGGGTAAAGATCCATGGCGGACGGTCTCAGAAAAGCGAAGCTTGACGCGGGCTTGACACGAGCACCTTTGCAGTGTAGAGAAGGCTGCAGCGTTGAACCCCGTGGTGTGGACCCCGAAAATTGCCGAAACCCTCAACGAAGTATTTTCAGCCACTTGGGAGAGCCCTTTGAAGGCTCATAGTCAATTGCGTCAATACCTCGGGTCGTGCAGGAGGCCAATAAACCCTAAACCCTAGACCCCAAAATCGTAAAACCCTGAAACCCTATGGCCTTAACAACGTAAGCCCTAAACTAACCCTCATCTCTGAATCCGAAACCCTAACTCCTCAACCCTCATTACTCCCTGGTCTTCACAGGCCACTCTGGCTCGACTCTGGCCTGTTGAACGAAGTTGAGGACCCTCTTGAAGAAGTTGAGGAGGCAAAATGACCTTCAGAACGGCAACTGCAAGTGGTAGGGTTTAGGGTCTAGGGTTCCAGGGTTTAGGGCTCTCCCGCCCCCAACCCGCCCCGCCCCTCCCCCCCGCCCTCCAGCCTCCCCCCCCCCCCCCCCCCCCTCCCCTCTGAAGGCCTGAAGAGAAATGAATGATTTTTGGGGGCCCGCAAAAATCCTCTCCCCCCCCCCGCCACCGTCCAGCAGGCTAGAAGAGACGCTGCAGACAAAAAGGAAGCAAGCCCTACAAAGTCATGGAGTTCCATGAGCTTTGAATTGTCCTGCAAGGAGCTTTCTCTGTTTCAGCCACGGACCCCTTCGAAACATGGCTGCAAACTTGCATCTGTGTTTGCCATCTACTAACTGACGCCGGCTTTTGGCCTGACACGTCCAGGGAAAGCATGATCGCGCGTCATCATTGTTGTCATTAGCCCTCCATCACGCGGGTTACTGTCATATTAGACACACTCGGAGCACGGCGACGGCGACGAGCAGAAACGGGGCTGGGGCGATCATCGTTCCACTCCTGGGCTTTTGTAAAGGCAATGCACCCATGCAGCCTCCACACCAAGGGTTGTCATTGGAATGCTGCAGCTGCGTCCATTGTAGGCCTTCACGACAAAAACCTATTGTCCAAGTGCACCGTGACGGGCGTGTGGTGCGGTTTGTGCAAGACGTAGGAGTCTTTGCCACGTGGTCGCACTTGTGGCAAGGCTGGAGACGGTAAAGACTCCAGAAGAGGATAGTGCGTACTTTGATGGTTTTTTGGATTGGTCAAATATAACCTGATTTATAAACCAGCTAAGTCAAGTTATAACCATGCCAAGTGGGTTTATAAGTGCACTACATACTTATACTGCAATTATAAATGCAGGGGCAATTACAAACGCTTGTATTCATTTAGAGTATTTACAAGTGCACATACTAACTATTTGTGAACTGATTTAGAATCATTTGCAAGTCGTTTATAAATCCTCGCTAAGTAATTATAAATGCCCCACGAGCATGTTTTGAAATTTCCACGTCGTCCATGTTTTGCTTCAACGTGCTCGGTTTTGACATTTCCACCTGGTCATTTTTTTGGCTTCACCGTGCTCGGTTTTGACACTTTGTTTTACACATTTTTGTGCGTCTTTTAACACGCGTGTGGCTTGCCCATGGTGCACCACGAGGCTCGCCCGTGATGCCTTTGTTTTAACTTTTGTATGCACCACGAGGCTCGCCCGTGACGCCTAAAGTGTCACTATGTTTATTATGATAGTTCTTGTTTTAGGTTGGGGCTCTCCCCCCTTCGGCCCCCCGTACCCCCCCCCCTCCCCTTCCCCCCCCCGCCCCCTGCTAACAGCTCTGCCCTAAACCCTCCCTAAACCCTCATTAGGGACAAGGTTTATCTACAAGGAAAACAGGGGCTTGATTTCTTGGAGGGTGAATATAACAAATTTTGCATGGGATGGTCTAGGGCTCAGGGTTTTTTTCGGGTTGAAGGCTTAAGGTTTGTATGGGTATAGGGCTTTAGGCTTGGGGTTTCGCCACCCCCATGCAAGGGGTTTCGCCACCCCCATGCAGCCCCAAACCCTAAACCCCAAACCCTGAACCCCATCCCCCAAATCTAGAATGGGGGGTCTGGTACGGATGCTTTCGAACCCAAATCAACCCAAAACCACGATTCCCAACGCCGTTTCCAGACCCAGGTTCTCGGCTCGAGAACGGGGGTCTGGAAAAGGTGCCTGAAACCCCGATTCCCAACCTCATTTTTAGAGCCCAGATGGGGGGGGGTGTTGGAACAGGTTTTCCAACATTTTCCAACGAAAGCCGCCCCAGACCCAGGTTTCGACTCGAGAACGGGGGTCTGCGAAAGGCGCCTGGGACCCAAAACAACCCAAAACCACGATTCCCAACCCCCATTTTTAGAGCCCAGATGGGGGGTTGGAACAGGTTTTTCGACGAAAGCCGCCATTTCCAGACCCAGGTTCTCAACGAGAGGGTCTGGGAAAGGCGCTTGGAACCCAAAATAACCCCAAACCACGATCCCCCCCCCCCCCCATTTTTGGAGCCCAGACCAGGGGGGTGGGGTTGGAACAAGTTTTCGAACGAAAACTGACATTTCCAGACCCACTCTCGGCTCCAGAACGGGGTCTGGGAAAGGCGCCTGGACCCACAACCCAAAATCACGATTCAACCCCATTTTTAAAGCCCAGATGAAAGGGGGGTGAAACAGGTTTTCCAACGCAAACCGCCATTTCCAGACCCAGGTTCTCGGCTCGAGAACGGGGGTCTGGGAAAGGCGCCTGGAACCCAAAATAACCCAAAACCCCCCTTTTTTTGGAGTCCAGATGGGGGGGGGTTGGAACCGGTCTTCCAACGAAAACCGCCATTTCCAGACCCACGTTCTCGGCTCCAGAACGGGGGTCTGGGAAAGGCGCCTGAAACCCAAAACAACCCAAAACCACGATTCCCAACCCCATTTTTAGAGCCCAGATGGGGAGGTTGGAAAAGCAAACACGGCGAAAACGGGGCATGTCAGGGGCGTGTCAGGGCCGTGTCGGGGGCGTGTCAGGGTCATGTCAGGGTCGTGTCAGGGCGTGTCAGGGGCGTGTCAGGGCCGTGTCAGGGCCGTGTCAGGGGCGTGTCAGGGGCGTGTCAGGGCCGTGTCAGGGCCGTGTCAGGGCCGTGTCAGGCCGTGTCAGGGCCGTGTCAGGGCCGTGTCAGGGCCGTGTCAAGGGCGTGTCAGGGCCGTGTCAGGGCCGTGTCAGGGCCGCGTCAGGGCGTGTCAGGGCCGCGTCACGCCCAGGCCAGGGTGGGTGGGAGGGGGTGGGCGTGTGGAGGGGTGGGCGTGTGGGAGTTTGGGACCGGCCCGCGCCCGGTTTATGGCGGGAGCGAGGTTGGGGTTCAGGATTTATCGTGGTTGAGGCGGCCTCCCCTTCTTCAAGGAGGGGCTTCTAAGGTACAGGGTTTTTGGTTTCCCCCCGATCCCTGTTATTTAGGCCTTCGGGTTATATAGGGTTTAAGGTTTTGGTTTTCAGGGTTTTTGGTTTTAGGGTTTATGGCTTCGGGGTTGTGGGGTTTTTGGGTTTGGGACTTAGGGTTTTAGGGTATTAGGGTCTTAGGGTTTCAGGTATAGGGTTCAGGACTTGGGGTTTGAGGCTTAGGGTTTGGGACGAGTGGGAGTGTGAGGTGGGGTTTGGAAGGGAGGTGGCTGGGTTTATAAAGGTTCAGTGTTTATATGTGTATATATTTCTCGGTTCGCCAGCTCCCCCCCCTCCCCCGTATGCCCTCCCCCCCAGCCGCCTAAACCTTAAACCTTAAACCTTAACCCTTAAACCTTAAACCCTAAACCCTAAATCCTGAACCTGAAGCCCTAAACCCTAAACCCTGAACCCTGAACCCTAGACCCTAGACCCTAAACCCTAAATAAACCCTAAACCCTAAATAAACCCTAAACCCTAAACCCTAAACCCTGAACCCTGAACCCTGAACCCTGCACCCTAAACCCTAAACCCTAAACCCTAAACCCTAAACCCTAAACCCTAAACCCTAAACCCTAAACCCTAAACCCTAAACCCTAAACCCTAAACCCTAAACCCTAAACCCTTAACCCTAAACCCTAAACCCTAACCCTAAACCTTGAACCCTAAACTCTCAAACCCTAAGCCCTAAAACCCTAAACCTTTTAACCAACCCGCAACCACACCACAGCGGACAGGGGGCGGGGGGAGGGAGGAGAGGGGAGGGAAGGTGAGGGGGGGGGGGATCATATATACAAATATAAATATAGGGTCGCAATAGGCTTGAGTTCCCCGTCCCCATGCAGCACACCCTAAACCTTATAAAAATTATTGTTGTTCTTATTGTTCTGTTGTTCTTGCTGTTCTTGTTGCTATTATTCTTATGCTTATTCTCCTTGTCATCGTCGTCGTCGTCGTCGTTGTTGTTGTTGCTGCCAAACATTGCCTTTGGCCCACGCCATCTCTATTATAGGTGAATGGCAAGTACAAAGTCGGTTTGTAAACCCACTTGGTTAGGTGTTGGATTCTTTCTTAGATTTAGAAATCCTGTCATGTGCGACGCAATGTGTGTGCGTGTGTGTGTGTGCGCGCGTGTGTCGCCTAAGTGATGATTCATGTGATTCAATTTGATTCATCATGGGAAGTTTTTGGAATGTGACAAAACTGAAAACGTGCAGACCGTAGCTCCAAAAAGTGTCGCCCGCAAAGCCCGAATTTTTTTTGGAAAAATACAATTTTTTTTCAACCCTGTATGTCGTTTTTTGGACATCCCGCGGACCTCGCTGGACCCCCACATCCGGGCCTCGCTGGGAGTTTTATAAATGATTTATAAATGCCGGCTAAATGGGAGTTCGCTGCCATTTATAAATGCGTTTATAACTGGAGTTATAAGTTTCCTAACCAAAAATCCGTCAAAGTAAGGCGCAAGTCGCCATAGCGAGGTATCCTTCGCATGAACACTGATACTAAAGCAGACTAGACGCCCTTCTGGACAGAAACCTTTCAAGACATGAGCCGAGGTGCTTCTCACGTGTCTCACACACGCCAGCACAACTGCTGGAAGAGGAGGCCATGGCTAGCCGACAGGAAGGAAGTTCCAGCTTTCACTTGTGCCCAACCCAGCGCTAAGAAACAAGGCGGGCATGCATACACGTCGCAGAAGACAGAAAACCTGGAACGTCAATTGGGCTTGGGTCGCTACAAATCGCCAACAAATCGCCTGAAATCGCCGGGCTACATGGAAGTCCAAGGACCACGCCCACATGAACCTCGTGTGTGGGGCATAAGGCAAACCTACTCCACCCTTGGCCTGAGGCCCAGAAACCCCTCAGGAAAATCGCCAGAATGATTTTTGCCAGCGCTGCAAAAATCATTTTGGGCTGCAGGGACGCCCTGAAACTCAGAACTGGGCCGCTGGCGTGTCACAGCAACACCGGGATGGACCAATAAGAACATGACCTCGGCAATTGGGCAGTAGGGTGAGAATCGGAATGATCAAGAGTGAAGGAGCACATGTGCACGAAGAGTTTTGCAGTCCTGCCGACTGGTTCATCCCTCCCGACTGCAGCTGAAAATGCCATGCTCCACGGCAGACTTTCCGGCTGCTTGGGAAGCTTGCGCGAGTGCGGAATGTATTGCGGATGCTAATGCAGTAAAGTATTGCGTTTCCTTCCTTGCACTTGCAATCTTCCCACCCCTGATGCTGCGCGCATCGTGACAAGTGAACGTCATCAGACCCTGAACTACTCATCCGAATCGGAACTGCTAGAAGAGGACGAGGCTAAGGACAATTCATCATCCTCGGGAAATGTGTCCTGCACCTCTGCCCGAACATCTCGCCTAATGATTGCTTGCACCCCACAGATCCCGTGTGAAGGTGTTGCGGAAAGCTTGGTGAAACTGAGGCAGCCAGACATGCTTGGGGGTACGGGCTGGGGCATGTCGGGCACGACGGCCCAAAGATTAATTGCTACGCTTTGCAGCTTGCTCTGCGTGTCGATGGCCAGACGGTTCCGGATGGCACAGCGATCCCTGTTGGCTAAGGCCCAGTAGCGTTCGCACTGGCCTTGCGATGTTGCGCAAGACCAAAACTTGTCGGCCATGACAGCCAGAGGCTTTGAAGGTTGGCGACTCTTCCACCACGCGATTACCTGCACGGGAACCGAGGAAATGATTTTAGACGGCCTCTAGACAATCATTTTCGCCTTCCAAGCCTCTGACAGAGGTGCATCCGATGTCGGGAAGTCCGTGTCCCGGAACAGGCCCTTCTTCGCACGGTAGTCGTCCATGTCGGACACACAGGCCTCCTGAACCTCGGTCGAGTCGAAAAACTTGTTGGGTAGAATCTTTCGGGCCATCACAAAAGCTGCGTGCGCATGATCCGGTTCTTCGAGACCAAAAAGAGGGCGCGGGTCAAAGATGCTGGCCGCAAGCACCATGTCCGTGCAAAACTGCTCTTTCCTGCGCGCATAAAGCTCGCGAACCTTGTTCTTCCTGAGCTCCACCGTCCCATTGTTCTCACCACTGTCCTTGAAATCGCAAGTTTCCAAGGCTTCCTCGAGGCGACTCTTCAAAAGGCACCATACGCCCAGTGCTTCTGGTAGCCTGGCGCAAGCAAAGACCTTGCTGGCGGAAGTCACTGCCCACATCACGGGGACAGCACGTCTGATGCGTGCTTCGAGGGGGCGGCGCTCAAGAGCCAACAAGGCGGTCTGCAATTTTTTGCGTTGCCTGGCGGAATGCCCAAGCTTCTCAGGGCCTTCACTTCGAAGTAGCTCGGCAACCTTTGCCCGGTGTTGTACCCATTTCACGGCCATCGTGGACCACGAGTTGTGTCTTGTTTTTCTCCGGTGTTGGAGAACTAGCCCGGAGGCCTAGCAGGGAATGCTGGGCACACGTTATAGCCATACATCGGAACAGAACAGTTCTTGGCCTGCCTTGAGTTTCCCGAAAAATTTTTTCGAGCGGCGAACCGTGCGGATTGCAGCGTTCACCTCCTGAGGGCACAAGTGAACTTGTGGTTGGAGGTTCGGGATATCGTAAATGACGCCCCCCCCCCCCCCCCCAATGATTTTTTCGGGGCCTGGAAAAATCATTCGCACGCCCCCCCCCACCCCCTCCCCCCCCCGCCCCCGCCCTTCAGGGCTCTAGAACCTTACGAAACACCAATCCTCAACGCCTGGCATGGACCCCGCTCCTTCGTCGCCTTCTCCAACCATGGTATCGCAGCTCGCACATCTTTGAGTAACAACTGCATGCCGTGTTCCATACAGCGTAGAGGGAGCACGAAGTCTTGACGCTCGGCAGCCAAGATGGCAATGGCGGCCTGCAAGTCCAGGTTAGCGCAAGAGCGACCAAAATGATTTTAGCCACCACTGAAAAAATCATTTGGGCATTAGGAACCTGTTTCGATTGCAGACGTCCAACATCCTCTGCCAGCCCTGCAAGAACATCATGGGCTGAGAAAGGCCCTCTGCAGACATCTGCAGACTCCGACTGTTCCGGTCACACAAGAACGTGCAAAATGATTTTTGCAGCCACTGGTAAAATCAATTTAGACTTCAGAGCCTTCTTCGCTCCTATCAAAGCTTCCCCTCTAATTATGGGAGAAACAAACCTGCACAAGCTTTCCACACCAGAAATGGCCTGAATGTTGGCCGCATTGTCCGCGCATATCCCGAACACGCTTCTGTGCTGCGCGTAAGGCCGCAGCACTTCAGCGAGACCAGCCGCCGTGCTGTCACGATGAACCATCGAAATATGGTCCAAATGGTAACACCTGCGCAGACATTACAAGCTGGTCAGGCTTTTGGCCTTGGGGTTGAGGGCTTAGACATTCACACTATCTCCAACATCGATGTTGGAAGTTAGCACTCCGGCACACACCGCCCGAGTCCATGATGCCGACATTCAAAAAGCCGAGGCCAGAAATCGTCGCACCGTCGGTGCAAAGGCAAAATGGACCCTGCTTGAGAAGCTTCTGCTTATAGTCCTCCAGCTCCGCAGCTGTGGAATCCAGCACGTCTCGAACTTTAAACCGGGTTGGGCACTTGTATGTCGGCGCCAAGTTCTTGAAGAACAGCTTTGTCATGTTGCTTTCCACGGACATAAAGGACTGGTGGTTCTGAAAGATGCTCAAAGCGTGGAGTCTCTCAAGACCTTCTTGATCCATCGCAGGCCGAGGCTGCTTCTCTGGCAGCATGGCTCGCGCCTCAGGAGCACGGAGAAGCTCAAACCAGAGCTTGGCCGCCGGATGCTTCTGTGCGTTCAAAACCTTCAACTCTTGAGGAGTCACATGGTTAGGGTTGGCGCAAGCATTGGTCCTGCTCCCAAACTTCTTGTACTCTGTCAAGGCTTTTGCTCTCTTCTCATCATAGTCAAGCTCGCGAGATTCAAGGTACCTTTGCACATCTGAGGGGTTGGGGTTCGCGAAGTGCACGGCGTGTTCTACTCCCCTGCACACTCCGGTCGCCATTGAAGACCAAGAGCACCGCCTACACACAAGTTGTATCTTCTGGGACTTCTTGCTGAAGATGCGAACGAACCGCGCCTCCAGAATGGCGAGTGCAGTTGCAGTCACACCGCGAAGTTGCAGGGGCATCATGAGATCTGAAGCGTCCACCTCATGGCCTAAAGCGCGCAGCTCTGCCAAGACGTCTTCTGGAATCTGGGTTTTCTGTTCAACTTGCTCTCCGTCTGCAGCTGAAAGCGATTTTCTCTTCTTCGGCGCCATCGCTACCAAAAATGGTATCTACGATCTTGAAATTAGCTGAGGATCTGCTCACTCACACAAGTACAACAAAGTTACTAAGGCTTCAAACATCGCTCAAGTGAACCCCAGAAACGAGAGCTTGTGGGCCTCCGAGCCTCTGAGCCAAATGCTCTGCCAACTCTAAACCCTAAACCCTAATCCCTAACCCCTAACCCCTAACCCCCAAACCCTAAACCCTAAACCGCAGCTTCAGAGTCTCTCTCCCAGACTGAGGGCCAGACCTCCGGCAGAAGAAGTCGTCGTCCAGCTCCACTCCAGTCGAGGGTCAGGAAATTCAGCAGCGAAGCTGCTTGAATGAATTTTAACGAACCCCAGAAAATCATTCAGCTTCCCCAAGATCCCCTTCAAGCCTCTGTCTCAACCCTTCTTTTTAACGAACCCCAGAAAATCATTCAGCTTCCCTCAACCCTTCTACACATTCCTTCAAATCGCGCGATTCGGGCTTTCCCCAAACGCGGCGATTTCAAAACGCTGCGATTCTAACATCTAAGCCCGAAACCCTAAACCCTAAACCCTAAACCAAAATAGGAAATTGGGCCTTCTCTGCGTCCTAGGATAAGCGATTTCGGGTTTTGGAGCGGCCCCTGGCCCCGAACTGCACTGGGGGAGGGCCCCCTGGAAGTATTGGAAGGATTTTTCAAAATAGGCTGCTCTGAGACACCTTGAAGCACCCTAACCCTAAACCCTAAACCCTAAACCATAAACCCTATACCACATCTCAAGGGCTTCGACCCGCGAACCAAAATTCTGGGAAAAACGGCGTGCGCAATCCAAGTGCTACATCCCGATCAACACCCACTGCTAGTCAAAACCTGATTTAGGTTTAGGGTTTAGGGTTTAGGGTTTAGGGTTTAGGGTTTAGGGTTTAGGGTTTAGGGTTTAGGGTTTAGGGTTTAGGGTTTAGGGTTTAGGGTTTAGGGTTTAGGGTTTAGGGTTTAGGGTTTAGGGTAGATTGAAACCCACGTCTTCAATCAGTGGAAACATTCAAATGAGCTTCAGAATGCGAGCCTCTATGCTGTAAGTTGGACAGTAAGTTCGTGGTCACTCAAGCATTACAATGACTAGACTCTTACTACTTTTAGTATCACTAGTACTCAAACATTACAATGATTATTAATACTCTTGTTACTTTATTTAGTATCAGGATTCCTACTGCTCCTAGTTTGATTACCTTGCAGGGTACGGCTGGACACCGAGCACTTTATTGCAAAGCCCGAAAACACTGCCCGGCCTCGGGTGAAAATGAATGACACGCCGCGGAAGTGGGGTTAGGGTTTAGGGTTTAGAGGTTTAGTTGCTTCATGAACCACCATCCCTGACCAGAACATCTGATTGTTCCTCACCCTTCCTTGGTCCCTTCAATCAACGGACCCTTCGAGGCCGTTCAGCATGACTTTGCCCTTCGCTTGGCAGGGTCGGCACCAGCTTGCCGTTGAGGGGGGAATCGTAAACCCTAAAGCCCTAAACCTTGCAAACCCTACACCCTGCACAAACAAGCTCCACAATGGGATGTCTACTAGAGCGGCCTTGATAACTAGAATAGGGTTTTGGGGGGTTACTATAGTATACTGATAAAGGGACCATAGGGGAACACTATTAGTAAGTATTCCGAACCTCTATAGTCCTTCTTGGCATCTTCGGTGCCACCTGCAGAATGCTGAATTACTTGCTGTCTGCGTGTGCTGTTGTACATGTCGATGCGCCTGCATGCTCGTCGCTGGAGAGATCGAACGTGGTCGGTTCTCTAAACTATGGCCCCCCTGTTTGGGTACCCGAAATAGAAGGGGCTGCCTTGTAACAAGCACCCCCAAAAGGGACCACACGTTAGTGAGGTGACCAAATCTTCCGTGGTGAGCTAGCTAAATCAAGAATCACCAGCGAGCGAGCAGGACAGTAGCAGGTGTGTTCAGAATAACAAAGCCGCGACGAGAATGGATCCTGGACCTAGTCCACACATGTGTTTCGAGAAAAGCTAGGCGCTACAGGAACTGCACCTCGCATCTGAATAGTGTTCTCGCGATCTATTGTGCTACTTCTTGCTCTTGTACTACTTCTTATATGCATAGTAGACCATTCGCTGCCTTGGTCCATGAGTCCGGGTGGTCCCACGTGTTGACAGCTCTACACTTGAAGTAGAGGCAACTCGCGAAATCTGAGGGAATCGGCTGGAGTTGTGTTGGCCGACCCTAAACCCTAAACCCTAAACCCTAAACCCTAAACCCTAAACCCTAAACCCTAGACCCTAAACCCTAAACCCTAAACCCTAAACCCTAAACCCTATTAAAGGTGAAGGGGTGCGGCATGAGGAGGGTTGCGCAGCAAGACTCAAAAGCTGCTGGGCTAGGGATTGCAGGTAGTCGTATGCGTACCTCTAGGATTCTAGGATACTTCTTTAGGAATCACCACGGAATACTCCCAGGTTCTTGGAGTGATATGGTAGCCTTGATCCACAAGAGATCCGGGTGCCATCCAAGTGGCAGGCGCTTCCGTACCTACATCACGTGGCCTGTTCGGAAAGCGCAGGCAGGCAAATGGCATGACCTCTGCTTAAAGGATCAGGGGGCTTAGTAAGTCGGGTGAGAAGTAAGGTAACTGCACTTATAAGCCCATTACCCTAAACCCTAAACCCTAAACCCTAAACCCTAAACCCAATGGCACTTATAACCTTACTTGCTTTACTAAGTGCTCCGACCCTCCCAGTGCGCCCAACGTGGCCCATTCGTTTTAAGCCCCCGCAGCTACACCGATGGACCCAAAATTAACAAGGGGGAGTTGTGAGAATTCGGATTCATCTCGGGGATTGGGCACCTGGTGTTTTGAAGGATTTAGGGTTTAGGGTTTGGATTTGGGTATCTTGGGGTACGTTTGTACCACTAGCACTGTTTCGCAACTACGCTGCCTTGCGGCCACACAAAGCAGGACGGAAGGCACTGCAAAAACAAGGTTGGCAGGTCACGGCGAAAACAAGCAATGGAACTCTGCTCTCACGTGGAGTCCCCCAACTGCACACTGGCGACTTCTCCTGCGACTTCGTGGGATTCTACATGGAGGTTCACTGGTACTTGTAAGTAGGGTTAGTTATAAGTATCGTAGCTATGGTTGTAACCTTACTTCGAGCACTTCTAACCCTACTTCTAGGTGCCCACGAAGCCATGAATCTCCAAGCAGGGTGTAGGGGGTGCCACTGCTCAGTGTGCATATTGCTGACGGAAGCGGTGGGACTTCCGGAAAAACGCCTTGCGAGCCAGAGCTTTCATGAGCTTTTTGTTAAAGAGTTCACACACTCGGCTGCCCAGTCACCTAAGATTAAGAAAAAAACCATATTTACTTGAAGGGGTTCATTTAAGGGAACCTAAAACCCCCCAAAAATGGGAGTAATGGCACTCCTGGGCAGCCTATAAAGAGTTCACGCTGTCAAAGGGAGAGACGCCACATCTTGGCCGGATACGAAATCAAGGAACAAGGATCCTATAGAGCCAATCAGGCCCAGCAGGCCCCAACACCGCAACACGAACAAGCATAGCAATTATACATCTTCATGTACTAAGCATTATGAATCCACATAACTGGGAACTAGAGACTTGGGTTTTTAGGGCTTGGGGTTGTCCTCGCTCCCTCACGCATCACGAGGCAAGTAGCAGAATTCCGGCGCCCCGCATGTCTCCCCTCTGTTAAGAAGGAAGACCCTCTTGGAGGTTCAAGGTGCTTATTAACCAATTATACCTGTACTTATAACCCACTTCTAAAGCCCCCTAAGTGCCCTAATGGGGTTATAAGTACAGGCCGAAGTGCAGTTAGTAATTGGCTAATAAGTACCATGAACCTCCAAGCTCACACCACAGTACCGCGACGAACTTCTGTCTGAAGTAGAGGCCCGTCGGAGGGTGCCTCACGGCGTCCTTGGGGGGAGACATTTCAGCCCCAAAAGCCTCCAAGCAAGCCTCAACCTTGTATAGAAAGGGTTGAAAACCCGTCAACCTTAGCTCAAGGATGGCCGGGACTGAGTGCCTTGTGCGTCAAAAAGTAGAGCCCTCGTCGTTGGGGGTTTGGGGTGGGTTCCGGTTGCTTAGTCAAGGACAGCCCCTACTCCTTTCCCCGGTTCTTCTGGTCTGTGTCTTTTGTTTCTGGTAGGTCTGGGGAACATAGTCTGGCGACTGTTGGGGGTGATAGTTCCTTGTCCCTTCCTTTCGGTTGCCCCCGTACCCTAAACCCGAAACCCTAAATCCTAAACTCTAAACCCTAAACCCTAAATCCTAAACCCTAAACCCTAAATCCTAAACTCTAAACCCTAAATCCTAAACTCTAAACCCTAAATCCTAAACTCTAAACCCTAAACCCGAAACCCTACATCCTAAACCCTAAGGCCCCTAAAGCCTTCGACCCCTGGAGCCGACAATCTCGACCTTCAACTGAGGCCGCAGCACCCTAAGCTTGTGATGCCTTATGAAGCCTAAATCCTAAAACCCTACCAGTTCAGGGCTTAGGGTTTAGGGTTTAGGGTTTAGGGTTTAGGGTTTAGGGTTTAGGGTTTAGGGTTTAGGGTTTAGGGTTTAGGGTTTAGGGTTTAGGGTTTAGGGTTTAGGGTTTAGGGTTTAGGGTTTAGGGTTTAGGGTTTAGGGTTTAGGGTTTAGGGTTTAGGGTTTCCCCTGCACCCTAAACCCTGAAGCCTAGAGGCCCTACGCCGGTTCGGGCTTTACCTTTGCGCCAAGCCGCATCGTCTCACAGGTCAAGCTGACTTCAACCATCAACCTCAGGAGTGTCCAAATAAGGTTTAGGGTTTAGGGTTTAGGGTTTAGGGTTTAGGGTTTAGGGTTTAGGGTTTAGGGTTTAGGGTTTAGGGTTTAGGGTTTAGGGTTTAGGGTTTATCGGCAACCTGGTAGCCCAGTGGGCATATCTTTCTCAGGGCACCCGTCTTTGGGGGTTGGTTACTTTGTAAGGGAACCTTGAATCGAAAAACGGGA